GGGAATTTTTTCTTTTCCAAATTTTTAAAATTGAAAGCCCCCCTAAAAGAGCAGAAATTTAATGATGACCCCCCTGCATATTAGAATATTTTTCTTTGACCCCCCCCTCCCATTTTCATTTTTACTCGCCAAATGGAGATACCCAGGCATTATAGTGTTAATTATTAAATAAGAATATGGAACTAGCAAGATATTAATGTCAACCAAAAATATATATTAGCAGAAAATTATAATTAAAAGGGGAGTATTTTTTATATATAACACTAAAATCAGGTTTCCATTCGGTCTGGGCGATTGTAACCATGTTTAAGGCTGCAACTAGACTTGATGGTACGGAGTATTGCCATAGCAGCAATGAGAGCAACAATCAGTAATATTAGCAGCAAAAGGAGATAGCAATGACAATTCTGTCAAGGCATACCTGCGAAATACAATGTATAGTGGTCTATACATCCCATTTTATGTGAGATTAAAAATTATATAAAATAAAGTGACATATACTAGCTACCAGATAAAATACTTTAGAATGAACATGGGTGAGTGGGTGGGGAAAAGGTATCGAAGCACAAAACTTGCTGCAGCTAGGCAAAGCATACAATGGCAGAATGAATACCCAGACCGAAGCACTGATCACAAGGCATAAAACAACCCTCTTTGATCGATATGACGTCACAGACTCCCCTCAGCGGATGTGGCCTGCATAATACATCCGCTGTTAATCTTGCTTAATTTAAATGTATTTAACCACATCAAGAGCTGATGTAATAAATAAATAGTACATTGTCAATTTAACTAGTCTGCAAACCATAAATCTGATTTGCATACAGCACACACAAGACAAGATGAATCCAGACTATTTCACATCAGTGACCATGATTTAGTTGCAACTTTTACAACCAAATGGATACCAGGTTATTAAGCAAATTCCTTCAAATTTAATTGCAACCCCCCTGTCATTTTCTTGAAAAAATTTAATAGCCCCCCCTTGTATTTCTACATATGCCCCCCCACCTTATTTTTCCCTCCCCCCCCCCTTCCATAAATAATGACCGGTCCCCTAGCCTCGTCCGCAGGCATCTCACCCGACGAATCGGATGGTGGGAAAAGTTATGGTCGTTCACCGTCACGTGCGTATTGTATTTTTGCCCAACTAACCAATAGCAATGTCTTAGGAAAGTTACCTATCCGTGACTCAAACAATAGGGTAAATTGAAAATTGCTATTGGTGGATTTGGCAAGAACACAATACACACGTGACGGTGAACGACCATGTTTTTGAATAAACGTTAACGTTGACTAACATAGATAATGAGTTATGTTGTTATTCTAATAATTTTTCAAACCATCTATTCTATTAACTATGGATTAACTAATTGCATGGGGATATGCATGGCTACACATTTATGGGTGGAAAATACAACTTAACTCAGTCCTTGCAGATCACATTAACTGTTTTTTGAGCCTACAAGCAGACAAGGAGGTGGCATCCACAAGCCATGTAGCCAGCATGATCTAGTAGGTGGGTACAGATGTGCGTTGGTCTTGAAGTTGGGTCATAGCCCTTAACTATATTAAGGTTGTCTAGATAGCCAGAGGGCCTCCCAAATCAGTGCCCAAAAATAGCAAATAGCAGTAAGAATAAATACACAAAATCCTGCATGTCAGTATCCACTGCGAAGCCGGAAAACCAACAAGTCAAGACATGCCATGTCTTGATGGATTTTATCAACAGTGTGCACACAGTCCCCCTCCCCCGCAATAAATTGTGCAAGACGAAAATTATTAGCCGGAAGTAAACAATACAAAGCTATCAGCTATGTCTAGGAACTTGGTAAACGATTTTACCGACTCGACTTGTCCCATGCCTGCGAGTGTCTAATTAATGTAAGATGCATCTTGATTTTGTATCCTCCGAGTGTTTCAATTCGACAGCACCAACCGAGTTATCGATTCTGACGGCAACATTCTCGTGTCTGTTCCTGATTGTGACAATACCGAGCAACCTACTTGTGTGTCTGGCTGTAATTATAGATCCAAACAGAGAACTAAGGACTCAGTTTAACTGCTTTACATTCAACCTTGCGTTGGCAGACCTTACTGTAGGATGTATCACTGAGGCCATATTTGTGTACTATCACATAAACGAGAGTATGGATAGAGAATTTGGACATCATATCGACGCATTCATGCAAAAGATAAGCCACATTCCATTTCTAATCACAGCTGTGGCGTCGGCATTGACTATTGCTGCATTGGCTCTGGAAAGATATTTAGCCGTGACTTCACCTTTTTGTTATCGACAGTATTTCGACGTCCAGCTATCGGTCGTGTTGTCGATAATCATTTGGATAGTCGCTCTGGGCTTTGGGCTGCTGAACATGGTTATGGACTATTACCTTCAGTGTTTTATAATCCTGAATTCTGTCCTGCTGTTTACTGGTTTCATCGTCTGTTTTGCTTGCTTCAAAATTCGTAAAACTTTACGTGATGCTTCGAGCAACTGGGAAGAAATCGGAATGCGAAGTACCAGAGAAGATGGTGATTTAAATATTCAAAAGAAGCTAACAAAGACCTTTGAGATAATGATTGGGGCATTAATATGCTGCTATGCTCCAGCGTGTGCCATGGTTTATTACATGAGCGTCTGTGAGGATTGCAATTGCGAAGTTGTCCAATGGTTTCGAGATGCGTTGGCTTGGTTGATCGTTCTCAACTCCGCCATTAATCCATTCATTTATGCTTTCCGCAACGTGTCGTTTAGAAGTGCTGTAAATATTATCATTCGTTGTCAATGTCGACACCGACAAACCACAACGTTGCACAACGTTTTTTAAACAGACACACAGACAAGACAAGCTAAAGTTTCACGAAGATTCATGGTGATTGACGGGACACATGCATCTACCCCACAACGATCCACAAACAACCACAAAGACCCCACAACAAGTTACAACGATCCACAACGACTCACATTAACGATCCACAACAATCCAACAACAACCCGCAAAGAGGCACAACGAGGTTATGATTATCAGATTTATCTAATGCATTTAATGAGCATTTTTCGACAATAGGACCTAAACTTGCCAGTGACATTCCAGTGAGCAGTAGTCATACGAGTTACACTGATTATCTCATTAACACTGACAAAAGGTTTCAATTCACGCAAACTAATAATGATCAAGTATTTTCAGTGTTAAGCAAACTATGCAAATCAAAAGCAACCGGTCTTGATCAGATCTCAGCCAGACTTGTTCGAGAATGTGCTGATCTTAATTTCTAGTTCCATAACCAATATTTTTAATCTTTCATTAACATTGGGTACATTTCCTGAAGATTGGAAATGTGCCAAAGTTACTCCAATCTTCAAACAAGGTACACAGAATGAAATGAATAACTACCGCTCAATTTCTGTGATTTCAGTAATGGCCAAGGCCTTTGAACGAGTAATCTACAATCAACTTTATGCATACATGTTAGAACATGATTTGCTATCCGAATACCAGTCGGGTTTTCGTTCTTTGCATTCAACGGTTACGGCCTTACTTGAGGCCACTGATAGTTGCAATTGGGCTTACAATATTGACCGCAGCAATATTAATGCCGTGGTATTTCTAGACCTGAAAAAGGCTTTCGATACGGTCAACCATGAGATCTTGTTGTCTAAACTCAGAAACTATGGAATTCATGGAGTTGCCTACAAATGGTTTAAGTCATATTTGGAAGACCGCAGGCAGAAATGTTTTGTTCAAAACGGGTCACTTTCCAAAAAATGTAGTCTTAAGTGCGGAATTCCTCAAGGAACGATCCTAGGACCGCTCCTGTTTCTGGTATTTATTAATGATTTACCAAATTGTTTATCTAATTCTCATCCCAGAATGTATGCAGATGACACTAATCTTACATATTCCGGTAGCGATATAAACACTATTCAATTTCATCTTAACGACGGACATGGAAAACATTAATGAATGGTTAATATCAACTGAAACTTACTTTAAATATGACTAAAACTGAGTACATGTTAATTGGGTCGAGACAACGTTTAAGTACTTTTTCTGACAATCCTTCTTTTGAAATAAATGGAACTCCTTTAGATCGAGTTTCGACAACAAAATCACTTGGTGTCTTATTAGACGAAAATCTTACTTGGAGTAGTCATATCAATAAAATGACAAAACGAATTGCTTCTGGTATAGGTGCTTTAAGCGGTTAAGGTCATTTGTTTCATTAGAAACATTGCATGTTATTTACCAAGCTCTAATACAACCACATTTTGATTATTGTAATGTCGTGTGGGGAAATTGTGGGAAAACTTTATCTAACAAACTTCAAAAAACTTCAAAACCGTGCAATGCGGGTGTTGACCAGGGTGTTGACCTTTTCCAACTTTGACGCCGATGCCAATAGCTTATTGGAAAAGCTAGGGTGGGATGATCTAAACCAACAACGCCAATTTCAAATGGCGTTAATGGTTTTCAAATCTTTAAATAACCTTGCACCCGAATATGCTAAATTTACTACTTCGAGACTCCGCGTGAACAAAACTTGCTGCTCTTTACCCCGCACCAATTATCTTAAAAATAGCTTTAGCTATAGTGGTGCAGTGTTATGGAACAGCTTACCTAGCAATATAAGACAAGCGGAATCTCTTACTGAATTTCGACAATTGTTGAAACATCATATTCGATAGACACGGCATTCATGGCGGAAAACAGGTATAAATATTAATGTAACATAGGCTTGAAAAATTTTTTAAACTTATTAATGTAGATTAAGATATAACTATTTTTATAAACCTGATGAAGCTACCGTGCTTAAATAAAGATTTGACTGACTATAAAGGCAGCGGCGCGTATTAATTCGTCAGATTCCACTTGGTCTTGGAAATATTATATATTCTGGCTGTAGGGAGTGTAGGCTATGTCTTAAGAATGCTTTGTCGTTTGAATTTATACGCGTACTTAAGCAGCGCGTAATTCAACAGATTCCACTTAGTCTTGGAAATATTATATATTCTTGCTTACGCTTTAGTGAATATTACTTCCATAAACATTAACACGCAAGTATTCAATGAGACGCACAAGTTTAATTTTTCAGTTTTTTTATTATTTTTTTATAATAAAAATGACGCCATATTTCATTTGCCTTGCGAGATCATGGCGCTCGCGGACAGCTATGATCTCAATAGAGGCAGAGGAGGCAAGAAAGCTTTCCGTTAGCAAAATTATCGATGCGTTTGCTGAAAAAAGACCAGGTGCGAGAAATTTAAGATGTATAATGTTACATTTAATTGAGAATGTATGTGCATAATTACAGTGGCAAACATTTCACGTACTTTTTATGTCAAAAACAATTTCCGCATAGTGCTATTTTATAGTTGTGTTTTTTATATTTTGCTATATATTTATATTTCCAGTTTATAAAATCCATTAAAATTGGCTTCTAAACGACTGGCAAAATGTTCATATTGTCAGAGCTTCATCTTCAAAAAGATCTCTGATCCCCCGCCTTGGGGGACACCCATGGCAAACTTACGCAACTGTGTATCACTATAGTTACTAAAACATGGAATGAGCTAGCCACCACGACCCACAACGAGCCACGAGTCGACGACTCAACGAGCCACAACGACCTTGTTTGTGGATCGTTGTGGGATCATTGTTGTCTCGTTGTGGCTGGTTGTGGGTCGTTGTGGGGTCGTGAGGGGTCGTTGTGGCTCGTTGTGACTCATTGTGGATCATTAATAAATAATAATAATAAATGTATTACTTATATAGCGCTATTTACAGCAATTGATCAAAAGCGCTTCACAGAGTTAAGAATAGATACAATATTTACATTATTGATCAGTTACATTGTTACTGATGAATTTATTAAATATTAACAATCTTAAAATTCAATACTGGCTGTATCTTTATATAAAAAGTCAGTAAAAACGTTCCTAAAAAGATGAGTTTTAATTGATTTCTTGATCATGAACACTAGTCAATACATGTAAGTGAACGTATACCAAGTAGAAGACTATTCCAAAGATGAGGTGCAGCCGAGCACCCAATTGGTAGTAAGCATCCTGCCTGGTGGAGGTTCCAGTAGAGTGCCATTGTTAGATCTTAAGTTGAAGGACGACTTCGATTTAACATGTACGAGATCCTTAATATAAGATGGTGCTAGATCGTGTATAGCTTTAAAAGCAAATAGTAACACCTTGAATTGTATTCTTGCATGTACCGGAAGCCAGTGTAGTTCATACAGTACGGGCGTAAAATGAGAATTTTTCGGAACGTCCATTACTAATCTTGCAGCGGCATTATGAACACGCTGTATAGTTTAGATATTTACTTTCCAGGGAGACCGTAAAATAAGCAATTACAGTAGTCGAGCCTGCTGGTGATGAAAGCATGTACTAGGATAAGTAAGTTGTCTCTGGATAGATATTTCTTAGGCTAATTCGTCTGATATTATATATGCAGGTGGAAAAAGCAGGCTTTACATACTTTTGTGATATGTCATATGAGTCGTCACGTTTAAGTTCAAGTCCAACCAGCTGCCAAGGTTCTTAATATGCGGGCTAGGAGAAATCACAGAATTATTAACTGAAATGCTGATAAGCTGAAGTTTACATAATTGGTGACGAGTGCTAATGACCAAGAATTCAGTTTTGCCATCGTTCATGATCAGGAGTTTATCCTGAATCATCCAGTGTCTTATCTTTTCTATACAAGACTCCATCGCAAATAAAGCGTCTTCTTGTGACGTACAGTTAAACTTTGCTTAAAACTGAGGTAGAGCTGTGTGTCGTCGGCATAACCATGTGAATCAGGAAGCTGATCTTACCTTCGATAGAGATTTGCTGACCTCTGTTGTGCAGGCAGGCGCGTAAGTTTGGTCCTGGCTGCCCTTAGCTGGTCCTACCGGGATAGGGTGCCCCCAAGGCGTGGGCATCCTACATCGTTTTGAAGTATACCATGAAGCCTCACAATATGAACATTTTGCTAGTCGTTTAGACGCCAATTTTAATGGGCTTCATAACTATAAAATAATACCATGCAGAAATTATCTTTGATATATAAACAGTGAATTATTTGCCACTGTACTTACAGCTATTTGCATTCAAGTACAAACCGCTAGCCTTTTAGCGTTTGCTCTCGGAAACGGAAATGTATTCACCGCTCATGTGACGTGTCGGGCTGAGCCTTTGGCGCAACTGTCATGTTTTGATGTGCCTTCGTACGTGTGTTTCAGTATTTCTAAGCTCATAATGCATTGTAAGAACGACCAAACTTGTTTACATTCATACTTTTTTTTACTAGAACGTATTATCATGGGCTTGGAAATATTGAAATGTGCACGAAGGTACATCAAATCTCAATCGACCATTTTATCAACGGAAAGCTTCTTGCCTCCTCTGCCTCTATTGAGATCATGGAAAGCGCATCTAATCTGTCTTGTGCAATAGGTGGCCTAAGATAAGTCTTAATTATTTTCAACTTACTCAACGACTCTGCTGTAGTAACTGTTACAGGTGGCAAAGCAAAACAATTGCTGATCACTAACTTAATTAGAATATGATGTGATCAACTGATCTATTTGAAGGTGTTTGAAAATGTCGATTCCACTCTTTAATTTTTTTCAAATTATTACAAGTCATCCCGAGCAATTCTTCCTTGGAACAGAATCTATATGACAAAACGTCTTGAGTCAAATCATTAGCATCATCCTCTGACCTTTGGTGTTTCAAACTCGGAACACATGCACGTCAAACTTGTAAGTAGAAATCAGATTATTGGCAGCACAACAGACGTCACTAGCTGTCATCTTCAATATGCACTTTTGGAATGTCTTGGCAACGAAGGTCTGACCTTTGAACCGTTCTTCTAGTTGCGATGTAGCCGTCTGGGTCAACGATGGGTTCATCTCTTGCTTCCTCGTCAAAATATCTACGAACTTTTATTGTTCTCTTTTCAATAAAAGAGGAGACAGGAATGCCAACTTTAAGAGCAAACACTGTAGATCCTCTTAGAATTCATTCCATTCGCCTATCATCAGCTCTAACATTATTCAACGCTCTCGAGCTCCCCAATTCACTTTTACAGTGCGTCTACAGTAAGTGGGGCCACTTAGAGAACACTAACCAATCACATTGCAGAACAGAAATTGAAAAAATGAACAAACGGCGCATTAGCCAATCAGCATTAGGCCAAAAACAATTTGAACAAATAAACGAATGTCAAACGGTAAAAATAGACTTGTAAAAGTAAACACTGCAGTTAATGGCTTCCTGAATCTTTCTTTTGATTGGACGAGCTTTAGTTTGATTAGATTTTTCTTTTTGTTCTGCAATGCGATTGGTTACTATTCTCTAAGTGGCCCCACTTACAGTAGACGCACTGTAATTCCTAGATCCATGTCCACTGCATGAAAATCTCTGGATGCTAAATTTATTGAAGAAAGGATTCTTTCGCAAGTGTTCAGCAAAATAACGAATTCCACAATGCTTATATGTTTGAGTAGATTTTGGGCTTCTCAGGGATGCCGGAAGTTGCTGAGGGCAAGCGGTGCGATTTGTTATCAAAAGGGCATATATTTTTAAAAAGGGGGCCAACCACACCAACTAAAATGAAAGGGCACTTACCTACATGTACTTTATAACCTAATTTTAAATCAAACACAAATTAACACAAACAATGAAGCGAACTTTTATTCATTTCAAACATTAAAATAAGCGGGCACGCAGAATTAGCAGAAACTGTTTCGCTTTCTCTTCTACTGAAGAAAATTTTGTGTGGCAGTTTACTAGGTTATGAAACTAAATAGTTCATTGTTTATAAACTTAATAAATTCCTCCAAAGTAATCTTTCCTTTGTGAGGATTTCGATGTGAAGTCTGCTGTTAACTGCTTTATGTTTACATCATCCATTCTTTCCTTATGAATTACTGCAAACATACAGTTTGTAAGCACTGCTGAGCCCATTCATGATCTTAGCCATGTCTTAACACGTCTCATGGCAATGAATGTGCGTTCCGCAGCTTTGGATTACATAGCATATATTGACAGGAGCAGCAAACAGCTCCAATGCGTTTCTGGAAGTGATGCGTTCGAAACAGCTTTCGCATTCAATATGTCTTGATCAGTCGAAACAGCAATTACTTTCTTAATGACAGGCATTGATGCCAGCTTCAATTCCATGTTGTACAAATTAATATGGACATGTAACTTTTTTAATTCTTCAATTAAAAGATACACTTTCACAATCTTTACGGCGACGCCAAGGTGCTTTATCACATACTCAGTGGTGACATCTGCCTCATTGTCAGCGCATGAGATTAACATGTGGTTGATATCTTTGACGAGTTGGTCTTTTCGTCCAATCGTTCCTTCATCGAACTCACACTCTCAATATACCCGCTTGAGTTCTGCTTTCAAATCGTTAGAATCGTGTCCGCTGAGTGCCACATCATGTGCGATAGAGTCTTCGATTCTCTTTGGTGCCTTTCTTGATTTGCTTACATAATTCGTATCTATCTGTAGCTCTGAATGATCAACTTTCTTGTACAGTTAGAAAATAAGAAATCTGCATTGACATTGTTTCAAATTAAATATATTTGAATAAGTTTTATGTTTTATCCTACCGTACTTCTATATGCCAGACTTTCTTGTCTCTGACAGAGACAACTCTCTGTGTCTTACCTTTTCAAATTCTTCAACATTGCATCTCATCTCTGCAAGCCTTATTTAAATCTTTGTGATGCAGTCCATTGCTACTTCCGCTTTAAGATCACTCTTTTGTGTATTTTTAAAATTTATTTCCAGAATATGCGCCAGACCCCTCATTAGAAACACACTAAACATGTGCTGGGCACTTTCCGGTCTGGAAATTAGCCCCTTTGCTTTGGCTTTGCATTTAGCATCGTTGTTTCTGTCCTCAGAAAATATTTTTAAAGTTTATTAAGTTCCGCATGTTTCGAAGTTATAACATTTCTTGCTGCCCCCCTCGTCTCTTTGAGAGGTTTTGGAGGTTTTGGATTGGAGACGCAAAACATCATCACTGTCGATCTCATCCTGGATCTTAGCAAATAGAGCCACACGTTTGGTGTCCCAACAATCACGTGCACATACAGGTCTTCACATAGTGACTGGGCAGTCTCCAAAGCTGAGCAATGTTTTGTGGCATCTTAGTTCTTCGCAATGTGCTAAGCAGTGAATAAAAATGACTGATTCATTAATTTCACTTTTGACTTTCTTCGCCACAGATTTCATTGCCATTGTGCCATCAAATGTCATTCCAACTAACCTGCTCGCATCCATGCAGTTGACACCTTATCAAGATATCCTTGATGTATTCAAACAGAGCATCTGTGAACACCCTCCCTGCATTCATAAATGCTAAATTCATGAATATGTGCTAATGCTAAAATGACCATTATGCACTGGCCGTGGCGTGCTGGCAGGGGGGGCCGGGGGGCCACGGCCCCCCCAGCTGGCAATTTTTGAGGGGCGAAAAAATGAAAAGGGGGCGCTAATCCCGCGCCGAATTTTGAAAGTAGGTGGGAAGAAACGCATTCGAAGAAATATAGTTACTAATTCCGCCAAGGAAAGATGTGTTTATAGACTTATAAA